CCTGAGTAGCTGGGATTATGGGCGAGTGCCACCACACCTGGCTAATTTTCATATCTTTAGTAGATACGGGGTTTCACCATGTTGGTCAGGCTGGTCTGGAACTCCTGAGCTCCTAATCTGCCCTCCTCAGCCCCCTCCTAACTGGGATTACAGGTGCAAGCCACTGTGCGCCACCCTTAAATATTTCATCATATACATATGAAAAACCATTTTCGCCAGGCGTGGTGGTTTGTAATCTCAGCACTTTGGGAGGCCAAGGCGGATGGATCACCTGAGGTTAGGAGTTTAAGACCAGCCTGGCCAACATGGTGAAACTCTGTCTTTAAAAACAAAAACAAAAACAAAAACAAAAACAAAATAAAAAACAGGCCGAGCATGGTGGCTCACGCCTGTATTCCCAGCACTTTGGAAGGCTGAGGTGGGTGGATCACCTGAGGTCAGGAGTTCAAGACCAGCCTGGCCATCATGGTGAAACCTCATCTTAAAACAAAAAAAGGAAAACAAACAAGCAAAAAAACCATTTCCTTACATACTCATGATTCCATTATCACACTTAAGAAAATTAAAAATACTTCCTTATATTATCATTCAGATCATGTTTGAACTTTCTCAGTTGTCCCTTAAATGTCTTATCCAGCAACTTTTTTTAAAAACCAGGATCCAGGCCGGGTGAGGTGGCTCACACCTGTAATTCCAGTGCTTTCGGGGGCCAAGGTGGGTGGATCACGAGGTCAGGAATTTGAGACCAGCCTGGCCAACATGGTGACACCCCATCTCTACTAAAACTACAATTGGCTTGGCGTGGTGGCAGGTGCCTGTAATCCCAGCTTCTTGGGAGGCTGAGGCAGGAGAATTGCTTGAACTTGGGAGGTGGAGGTTATAGTGAGCACAGCACCACTACACTCTGGCCTGGGCAACTGAGCAAGACCATGTGTCAAAAAAAACAAAAAAACAAAACAAAAAAAACAATGAAAAACAACAACAACAAAAAACCCCCAAGATCCAAACAAGAGGCACTCATTATATTTGGTTGTTATGGCCTTAAACGTTTTTAAATTCCTGCTCTTTTTTTTCCATTCAGTCATTCATTCATTATTTATTTATTTTAGACAGAGTCTCAGTAACCCAGGCTGGAGTGCAGTGGCGTGATCTGGGCTCACTGCAATCTCCACCTCCCAGGTTCAATTGATTCCCCTGCCTCAGCCTCCCGAGAGGCTGGGACTACAGGTGCGTACCACCATGCCAGGCCAATTCTTTGTATTTTAGTAGAGACAGAGTTTCACTATGTTGGCCAGGATGGTCTTAATTTCCTGACGTCATGATCTGCCTTCCTCAGCCTCCCAAAGTGCTGAGATTACAGGTGTGAGCCACTGCACCCAGCCTGTTTATTTATTAAGAGATGGGGTCTTGCTCTGTCGCCCAGGCTGGAGTGCAGTGGTGACATCATAACTCACTGCAGCCTTGAATTCCTGGGCTCAAGTGATCCTCTCGCCTTAGCCTCTTGAGTAGCTGGGACTACAGATGCACACTACCATGTTCAACTAATTCTTTTTTTTTTTTTTTGAGACGCAGTTTCGCTCTGTTACCCAGGCTGGAGTGCAATGGTGCAATCTGGGCTCACCGCTACCACTGCCTCCTGGGTTCAGGCAATTCTCCTGCCTCATCCTCCTCAGTAGCTGGGATTACAGGCATGTGCCACCATGCCCAGCTAATTTTTTGTATTTTTTAGTAGAGACAGGGTTTCATGTTGACCAGAATGGTCTTGATCTCTTGACCTGGTGATCCACCTGCCTCTGCCTCCCAAAGTGCTGGGATTACAGGCTTGAGCCACCGTGCCTGGCCTCAACTAATTCTTTTTTTATATTCCATTGCTTTTTTGACAAGATTGGCTAGTTGTCTCATGGAATGTCTTACATTCTGGATTTGCAAAATATCTCCCTGTGTTGTATCAGTATTGAACTTGTTCCTTCATTCTGTTTAAATTTTCTATAAATTGCAAATCAGATATAATGGCTTGATTAAAGATTAAGCACTTTTGGCAAGAATATTTAATAGATGATGTGGTGAACTTTTTTTTTTTTTTTTTTTTGAGACGGAGTTTCGCTCTTGTTACCCAGGCTGGAGTGCAATGGCGCGATCTCGGCTCACTGCAACCTCCGCCTCCTGGGTTCAAGCAATTCTCCTGCCTCAGCCTCCTGAGTAGCTGGGATTACAGGCACACGCCACCATGCCCAGCTAATTTTTTGTATTTTTAGTAGAGACGGGGTTTCACCATGTTGACCAGGCTGGTCTCGATCTCTTGACCTTGTGATCCACCCGCCTCGGCCTCCCAAAGTGCTGGGATTACAGGCTTGAGCCACCGCGCCCGGCCTTTTTTTTTTTTTTTTTTGAGACGGAGTTTCGCTCTTGTTACCCAGGCTGGAGTGCAATGGCGCGATCTCGGCTCACCGCAACCTCCGCCTCCTGGGTTCAGGCAATTCTCCTGCCTCAGCCTCCTGAGTAGCTGGGATTACAGGCACGTGCCACCATGCCCAGCTAATTTTTTTGTATTTTTAGTAGAGACGGGGTTTCACCATGTTGACCAGGATGGTCTCGATCTCTTGACCTCGTGATCCACCCGCCTCGGCCTCCCAAAGTGCTGGGATTACAGGCTTGAGCCACCGCGCCCGGCCTTTTTTTTTTTTTTTAAAGATGGGGTTTCACCATGATGGCCAGGCTGGTCTTGAACTCCTGACCTCAGGTGATCCACCCACCTCAGCCTCCCAAAGTGCTAGGATTATAGGGGTGAGCCACTGCCCCCGGCAATGTGGTGTACTTCTTGTTGCATCTTTCCAAGGACCATTCAGTGTGAAAGATGTCCTACTATGAGTGATATAGTTTGATCACTTATTTACTTGGGTAAGGTGGTAACTGCTAGATCTCTCCATTTGAAGTTGTTTTTTAAAAAATTTGTTGTTTTTGGCAGGGTGTTGTGGCTCACGGCTGTAATCCAAGCACTTTGGAGGCCAAGGTGGGCGGATCACCTGAGGTCAGGAGTTCAAGACCAGCCTGACCAACATGGTGAAACCCTGTCTTTATTTAAAAACAAACAAACAAAAACATATATATATATATATATATATATATATATATATATATATATATATAAATTTGTTGTTTTTGAGACAGGCTGCAGTACAGTGGCTATCATTACGGCTCACTGCGGCGTTGACCACCGGGACTTAAGTGATCCTTTCACCTCAGCCTCCTGAATAGGTAGGACCACAGGCATGTGCCACCACACCAGCTAATTTTTGTATTTTTTAGTAGAGATGGGATCTTACTATGTTGGCTGGTCTGGAACTCCTGAGCTCAAGCGATCTGCCTGTCTCAGCCTCCCAAAGTGTTGTAATTACAGAGGTGAGCCAGTACCTCCAGCCCATTTGAAGTTACTTAAAAAAAGAAAAAAAAAAAAGATGTTATTTGCAAATCTGTGTGGTGATATTTGGTGTCATGATAATATCCTGTTCCCTAACAACTTTTCTCAAAATTTTAATGATTGATAAACTTGCCTGAATCAATTATTTCATTCTGGGTTGCACAATGGTGACTTTTCTTTTCTTTTCTTTTGAGACGGAGTTTTGCTCGTTACCCAGGCTGGAGTGCAATGGCGCGATCTCGGCTCACCGCAACCTCCGCCTCCTGGGTTCAGGCAATTCTCCTAGCTCAGCCTCCTGAGTAGCTGGGATTACAGGCACGTGCCACCATGCCCAGCTAATTTTTTGCACCTTTAGTAGAGACGGGGTTTCACTATGTTGACCAGGATGATCTCGATCTCTTGACCTCGTGATCCACCCGCCTTGGCCTCCCAAAGTGCTGGGATTACAGGCGTGAGCCACCGCGCCCAGCCAATGGTGAGTTTTCAACTCTAATGCCTTCTTTTTCTTTCATTCCTTCTACTTATTTACTTTGAGGTGGAGTTTCCTCTTGTTGCCCAGACTGGAGTGCAATGGCGCGATCTCAGCACACTTCAACCTCCGCCTCCTGGGTTCAAGCGATTCTCCTGCCTCAACCTCCCGAGTAGCTGGTGCCTGCCACCACGCCCAGCTAGTTTTTTGTATTTTTTAGCAGAGAAGGGGTTTCACTATGTTGGCCAGGCTGGTCTCCAACTCCTGACCTCAGGAGATCCACCCGCCTCAGCCTCCCAAACTGCTGGGATTACAAGCATGAGCCACCGAGCCCGGCTCCTTCTACATTTATTACATGGAATTCTTTTAAAAAGAACTTTCCCTTATGGATTACAGATGAACTACAGTTCTTCCTAAAAGGAAAGTTAAATGTATCTTTCCTTTTAAGACTAAGGAGTTGATGTAATGGTCACCTAAATTTAACGTGACAAGTTAGTATTCTTTCCTTTCTTCTTTGAGTATCCCTGTAGATTACTGGGATTTCTTCATCCTTCCTCATTCTCTTTCCACCCAACCCTTTTTCCTCCTCTCCACTTCTTGATCCATGGCGACTGCTCCCTCTCCACACTAACGCCTGAACTTTCCAGCCAGTCCGCTAGGGGCCACTGGTTTCCTTCCCGCCCCCCCCAACGCTCCCTCTCTATAGCAGTTCGCCGTTCGCTAGCAGCCACTGTCTCGCTGGTGCTGACGCTATCCAAGGAGCCGCTCTAGGCTTTCAGGAGGCCGTCTGCATTGCGTGGGGAAGCTTCGGACGACGCAATCGCCTCGCCGGCCCCCGGGGCGGTTAGCGCTTCCGGGGTCGAAGGGTGCGCGGGGTTGAAAGCAGGCCGCTCCGCCCCGTCCCCCTCCCAGACCAGCAGAGGCAGCAGCCGGAGCAGCCGCAGCCTGCGCCCTCTCCCGCCCGCCCGCCCTCCGCCCGCCCGCCCGCCCGCCCTCCGCCGCCCTCCACCCGCCCCGGGGTCTCTTTCCCCCTTCCTCCTCCTCCTCCTCCACCCCCCCCTTCCTCCTCCGCCCGCCCGCGGGGCCCCCCTCGCCTTCCCGCCCGCCCCTATTGTTCCGCCCCCGGCCTCCCGCCCTTCCCCTTCCCGCCCGCTCCCCTTTTCCCCTCAGTCGCCTCGCGCCTGCAGGTAAGCCTAAAAATTTCCCCTGCATCCCCGGCTATGGTTACAATTTCCACTCGTGCCTTCTTTCTTAGCGGGCTCGGGTCCTGGTCACGAGCCCCGGTCTTGCGTACTCCCGCGTGAGCGCCTACCACCTCACTGTGCCTGGCTGGTCATTCACGCGAGGCCCTGGCTCTGGCGCGGCCTAGTAGGCCTCGCGCAAGGCCTACCCCCTCCCCCCGCCTTTTCCCGGTGGCGGCTGCGCAGGAGTCAGGGAGGGCGCGCGCGCGGTAGGGGGGGCGGCGGTGGATTTGTTGGTTGTGGGGGGTGGGGGGAGGCGATGGCCGGCTTGCTGGCCGGGCGGGTGAGCGCGGCTCCCCGCGGGGGTCAGGCGCTGGCGCAGCCACACGAGGAGGCGCTACTAGTCCAGCCCCTCCCCCTGGATCGCAGCGCCCCCCCCCGACCGAACCGTTTATTTTTCCCCCCCTCTTCTTTCTTGTCGAGGGCAGGGGGGGCTTTTTTTTTTCTGAAGTGGAAAATGCTTGGATGATCGAGGGGAGAGGGGTCTGCGGAGTTAACGAAAGAGTAGATGGGCTCCCAGTGGCCGAGTTAATCAGGACGTTTTTCGTGGTAACGAATTTTTAAATTACAAAATGCCTGCCGATGTAGACCCAGACCGAGCTATTTATAGAAGGGGTATTGGACAGCAGTATTAGCAGATGGATTGCTGGAATGGGATACATTTGTCTTGACCAAGTCGGGAGAGAAATTCGACAGATTTGTTGGATTACTAAGATGGTTTGGAGTTAGAAATGCATCTTTGTACTTTACCTAAAGAAATGGCTTCAAATAGGTTTCCTGGTGGTTTTTTTTGTTTTTGTTTTTTTCTTTCGAAGTTGCGTTATTGTGATATTTGTAAAGGGCTTCTTATTACATCTGCAAGGGGGTAAGGAATTAAACTGCCAGATTTTTACCATATCTTATTTTTTAAAAAGCCATTCTTAGGTACCTAGTGCTTTTTTCCTCACCAAGCACTGGTATTCCGTAAGTGAAAAGTGTTGAATTCTGGGATTTTGCCGGCAATTAATTGTAATCCGAAAATAGGGAAATGATGTGTTTTGGGGATGCACTTACATAATCACATTCTTGGAGTAGCTAGAGGACAGTTTGCCATATACAGAATGGTTAGACAGCCACTTAAGCACCTAAGATATTTAGGGTATGGGCTTTTGTGTTAGAGGAAAGTTAACACAGTGGCTGGTTTTGTGAAGGAGGAAATCTAGCTGTGGGAGGAGAGAGATGACATGTTGAGTTTTAAAAGGATGGATACTTAAAATGTCATTGGGGACATTCTACAACTTGGGAGAGAGGTCCTTTTTAAAGATAAAGGAGGTATTGAAGGCGAAGGCATATCCAAAAAACAAATTGTCTTTTAACACATAACTAGTCATTCCAAAGCAGAAATGTTAGGGACAATGTTAGGAATTGTTTCATAGGTGGGAAAAAGGCCATCCTATATAGGAAAGGTACATTGCTGCTGTTCCTAAAAACAAATTTTAGCAATGCCAGTTTTACATTGATTTTCTCGGAAGGAAATTTAAGATTTAATAGACTTGAAATAAAAACTAGATGGCAAACACAAAAGGATAACATCTCAAATCTGAGTTACTATCAAGATGGGTTGGAAGGAGGACTAGGAGAAAAGGACTCAAGTGTACTCAATGTTTTGAGTTATTTTCCAGAAGGGAATATGGAACCCCACCCTGCATGGAAGGCATCTCAGACAATGCCTTTTCAGTGAGGGTGTTGATCTAAATCTTTTAGAAACCTTTTGGTGTTAGCCATCAACGTTTGAAATTGGTAATGTAAGATACATCTCAATTTCCTTATCTAGAAATTGCTACTACTAAGAAAATTTACATGTGCTCTTTCTCGATTTCAACTTGAACAGCATGCTCCCCAGCAGGGAAACAAAAGGTTATTTGCCCTCACTGTAGTTAGAGGTTTGCTCTCATGATTTCCAGGTGTTTATGAATTCTTTGAAGCTTTTTCTGCTGAAGGACAAGTAGTGCACGTTCAGCAGTTCCCTTAGAACCATTGCCAATTGAAGGAACCTTCCTCATCCCCAGAGTCAGCGGAAACCCTGTCATTAATGAGAGGAACTGGAGAGTTGCCTTCCATACTCTGTAACAGAACTTGAGCTGTAAATTTTGTCATGCAGTTGTGCTTGGTGTGTTTTATAAGTCCGACATACTGTCATTTAAGGAAAAGTGTAAAGTAGAAAATATTGATAAGGTGAAAATAACTTGGGAAATAATAACCCTGTTGTTTTCCTCCTCTAATTTTGGTCATGTTTGCATTTTAGTTTTTGGCTTTTACCCCCCACCAGTGACCAAAGACTTGACCACTCCCCAGAGTCCAGCTCCCCAGAACACTGCTCGACATGGACACCGGTGTGATTGAAGGTGGATTAAATGTCACTCTCACCATCCGGCTACTTATGCATGGAAAGGTATGCTCCAGCTTGGGAAATTGGGTCATAGTAACTGCTAGGGGAGGGGCCAGGAAGAGCAGACATGCATCTTGGAGCTCATCAGATTAGCACTGTGGGGCATCTGGCTTTAGCATATTTTTCTAATGGAGTAGATGTGCGGTTTAGTGGGAAAATGGACAGACTTTACTAGGAAGCTCCACTGAGCAGGAAAGGCTTAATTAGAGGCTGGAGCCAAAAACTCTCTCAACCTGGAAGGTAAGAATTTTCCCATGGAGATTGCTCATAGCAAGTCCCCTCCCCCCAATAAATCTTCAAAACTCATTCTTTTGGGGTAAAAATTAGCATAGATAGTTGGTTGGCTGGATAGTTAAAATTCCTTTTCATAATGAACACTTCATTAAAATGCGGAGAAAAAGGAAAAATAAAATACCTTTTTAAAAAGGAACACTTGTGAGTTTCCTCTTAACTGATAATTAGTTTTCTCCATTGCAGGAAGTTGGCAGTATCATCGGAAAGGTAAGACAATTTCACTTCAACTCTAATTACCATGTAGTCATTCTGGATTGAAATAACAGTTGGAGCTCATGCTTGACTTTTCCTTTTACAGAAAGGAGAATCAGTTAAGAAGATGCGCGAAGAGGTAAGTTATGGAAGACTTGAGATTGTTAACTTTGGGAAGTGAAAAATCTTTAAAACAAGTGAAAATTCTTTTTCGGAAGTTAGAGGGAAGAAGCTCTTGGCCGGGTGTGGTGGCTCCTGCCTGTAATCCAAGCACTTTGGAGGCCAAGGCAGGCGGATCACCTGAGGTTGGGAGTTCAAGACTAGCCTGACCAACACGGTGAAACCCTGTCTTTATTTAAAAAAAAAAAGTTCTCAGTAAGGGAAACCTGTATTTTTTTTGGCTTGGTTATTTGTAATGATAATCTGGGAAGTGTATGTTTTTTGTTTTCTATTTGGGAAGTGTGGTTTTGACAAGTCATAGAATTCATTCAAGACTTATGGTAGGCCTGTAGGCTATATTTGAGGATAGACATGGAGGAGTGTTTGAAATGATGCTGACTTTGCCTTGCATCAGGATTGTGTATATTGGCAGCTCCTTGTCCTTCTTACAAGGGGCTATATATCCTGTACATACTCAGATCTTCTTTGTCTCTTTAACATCTTTTGGCTCTTGTTTTCTTTCTAGAGTGGTGCACGTATCAACATCTCAGAAGGGAATTGTCCTGAGAGAATTATCACATTGGCTGGACCCACTAATGCCATCTTCAAAGCCTTTGCTATGATCATTGACAAACTGGAAGAGGTTTGTTTTCTCCCCTTCCATCATCCTTCATTTTTAAGTGCTTCCAGAGAGCTTGTCGGTTTTCTAAGCTTTTCAAGTTCAGGGACAAACTGGACCAGAATACTCTGTAAATGGGTCCTTAGCTTCCTGCAGCCTCCCACAAAATTTGACCATTTATAGTTTAAAGAAGAGTCACTTGAGGCCGGGCACGGTGGCTCACACCTGTAATCCAAGCACTTTGGGCCGCCGAAGCAGGCGGATCATGAGGCCAAGAGATCTAAGCCATCTGGTCAACATGGTGAAACCCTGTCTCTACTAAAAAAAAAAAAAAAAAAAGAAAAGAAAAATTAGCTGGGCGTGGTGGTGTGCGTCTGTAGTCCCAGCTACTTAAGAGGCTGAGGCAGGAGAATTGCTTGAACCCCGGAGGCGGAGGTTGCGGTGAGCCGAGATTGCGCCACTGCACTCCAGCCTGGTGACAGAGCGAGACTCTGTCTCAAAAAAGAAGTCACTTGAATCATCAAAACAGTTCAAATTTTGCCATGGACTTAGTGTAAATAATTTGCGTGAATGTCATCTGTTGGAGGTATGTCAGGGCTTTGGTAAAAGGCTCGAGTATACCAAACTAAAATGGTTTACCTGACTGACGCTGTAAACAAATAATCTTTCAATTCTGATGCTCTTAGGTTAAAAAGTCAATCTGCTAACATTGTGTCAAAATTATACTTGTTGGGAGAGACTTAGAAAATACTTACCAGAGGTTTTTTCAAGAGGAGGTGGTTTTTCCCCCCACCAACCTTCAGAGGCTAACCTATTGTCCTAGGTCTTGTATTCAGTCTCTCCCTTTCCCCCTTCTGCAGTAATGCAGCTAATTGTGCAATTGATACCACAGGCAGAGGAGTGCTGCTGCTTTAGTGGTTGGTACTTAATGGTGCCTGAAATCTTATCCTTGCCAAGATTAGAAATGTTATATTTTGACCCCTAGGACTCTCTAAGTCCGGAACTCATGGCTTAAAAAACATTTAGGAAATGTACGTTTTAGTTTTTTTCTTTAACAAGAATGAACTTGAACTAGTTTTGTTCTTTTTCATACATCATGGTTTTTTTGGCCAGGCGCAATGGCTCATGCCTATAATCCCAGAACTTTGGGAGGCTGAGGCAGGTGGATCATGGGGTCAAGAGTTTGAAACTAGCCTGACCAACATCTCTACTAAAAATACAAAAATTAGCTGGGCATGGTGGCACGTGTCTGTAATCCCACCTACTGAGAAGGCTGAGGCAGGAGAATCGCTCGAATTGGGGAGTCCGAGGTTTCATGAGCTGAGATCACATCAGTGCACTCCAGCCTGGTGACAATGCGAGACTTTTTTTTTTTGAGACAGAGTTTCGCTCTTGTTACCCAGGCTGGAGTGCAATGGCGCGATCTCGGCTCACCGCAACCTCCGCCTCCTGGGTTCAGGCAATTCTCCTGCCTCAGCCTCCCGAGAAGCTGGGATTACAGGCACACGCCACCATGCCCAGCTGATTTTTTGTATTTTTAGTAGAGACGGGGTTTGATCGCGTTGACCAGGATGTTCTTGATCTCTTGACCTTGTGATCCGCCTGCCTCAGCCTTGCAAAGTGCTGGAATTACAGGCGTGAGCCACCGTGCCCAGCCGAGACTGTTTTTTTTTTTTTTTTTTTTTTTTTTTTTTTTTAAAAGACATCATAGTTTTTTTGGTTGTTTTTTGAGGCAGGGTTGTGCTCTGTCACCCAGGCTAGAGTGCAGTGATACACTCGTAGCTCACTGCCTCCTCCCAGGCTCAAGTGATCTTCTGCCTTAGCTTCCTGAATAGCTGGGGCTACAGGTGCGTGGTAATTTTTTAGAAACCTTTTTTGTTGTTGTTGATATGGGAGCTTGTTATGTTTTCTGGGCTGGTCTCAAACTCCTGCCCTCAAGTGGTCCTCTTGTCTCACCTCTCAAACTGTTGGGATTACAGATGTGGGTCACTATTTTTTAAATTATTTTTTGAGCCAGGGTCTGGCTCTGTTAGCCAGGCTGCTGGAGTACAGTTGTGTTATCATGGCTCACTGCAACCTAAATTGCCTGGGCTCAAGCAGTCATCCCACTTAAACCTCCCCGGAAGCTGGGACTACAGGCATGAACCACCATGTCTGGCTAATTTTTGCAGATTTTCTGGAGACTGAGCCTTCCTATGTTACCCAGTCTGGTCTTCAACTCCTGGGCTCAAGCAGTCCTCCTATTTCAGCCTCCCAAAGTGCTGGAATTACAGGCATGAGGCACTGTGTCTGGTCTTTATTGATTTTTTTTTTTTAATTTTTGACAAATCTAGAAAGCTAGAGCATGAATTGTTTATTCCTTAACCAAGTAATAAACTTGTCCTTGACTTTAGGGGTCTTAACTGCTTAAGCAGTTTGTTTCCAGGTCTCTAGTTATTAAGTGATATGTAAACCACTTAATCTTCGCAAGGCTAAATTTAACTAGGTTAAAACTGTGACTTTCTGGATACAACATATATTTATGGGAAAGACTTTAGGCTTTGAAATAATACGGTTTTTTCATTTCAAATCTATGACTTTTTTTTTTTTTTTGTAAGTGGGGGATGGAGTCTTGCTCTGTCACCCAGGCTGGAGTGCAGTGGTGTAATCTTGTCTCAATGCAACGTGTGCCTCCCAAGTTCAAGCAATTCTCCTGTGGCATCCTCCCAAATAGCTGGGATCATAGGCATGACCCACCATGCTTGGCTAATTTTTGTGTTTTTAGTAGACATGGGGTGTCACTATGTTGGCCAGGCCGGTCTTGAACTCCTTGACCTGCAATGATCCACCTGCATTGGCTACCCAAAATGTGGGGATTACAGGTGTGAGCCACCACCGCACCTGGCCTTTTTTTTTTTGAGATGGAGTCTCTCTGTTGTCCAGGCTGGAGTCCCGTGGCATGGCATCTGCTCACTGCAGCTTTGCCTCCTGGGTTCAGGCAATTCTGTGGCACCTTCCCGAGTAGCTGGGATTATAGGCATGAGCCACCACGCTCGGCTGATTTTTGTGTTTTTAGTAGAGGTGGGGTCTTAGTACATTGGCCAGACTGGTCTCAAACTCCTTGACCTGAAATGATCCACCTGCTTCGGCTGCCCAAAGTGCTGGGATCACAAGTGTGAGCTACTGTGCCTAGCTGTATATGATTTAATTTTGATGTCAAGTTTTGTTGCTCATTGCCTGGCTAAGTAATTGCAAAACAGATTATCACTTTTCTCCCTACCGAGTACATTCCCCCCCGGGGTAAAGGAAAATATATTTATGGTTAATTCTGAGGAATTTTTCTTTTTCCTTTCTTTTTTTTTTGAGACGGAGTTTCGCTTTTGTTACCCAGGCCTGGAGTGCAATGACGTGATGTCGGCTCACCACAACCTCCGCCTCCTGGGTTCAAGCAATTCTCCTGCCTCAGCCTCTCCTAGTAGCTGGGACTAGAGGCGTGCGTCACCATGCCCAGCTAATTTTTGTATTTTTAGTAGAGACAGGGTTTCACCATGTTGACCAGGATGGTCTCGATCTCTTGACCTCGTGATCCACCCGCCTTGGCCTCCCAAAGTGCTGGGATTACAGGCGTGAGCCACCGCGCCCGGCCCTGAGGAGTTTTTCAAGAGTTTTTATCTTTACATCAAAAATAGTTTGAGAGTTTAACTATTAAAAATAGTTAAAGATAAACTTTACTTTTTTTTGAGACGGAGTTTTGCTCTTGTTACCCAGGGTGGAGTGCAATGGTGCGATCTCGGCTCACCGCAACCTCCACCTCCTGGGTTCAGGCAATTCTCCTGCCTCAGCCTCCTGAGTAGCTGGGATTACAGGCACGCGCTACCATGCCCAGCTAATTTTTTGTATTTTTAGTAGAGACGGGGTTTCACCATGTTGACCAGGATGGTCTCAATTTCTCGACCTCATGATCCACCCGCCTCGGCCTCCCAAAGCGCTGAGATTACAAGCTTGAGGCACCGCGCCTGGCCTAAACTTTACATTTTTGATGTAAAGTTATTATCTTTACATCAATAATAATTGGAACCTTTGTGGTGGGTTATGACCTTACATGTCCTTATAAGATCAAGGGTAAATGATTCTTTAATGGCAGTTACTCATTTCCAGGGATCTGCTTATCCTTCTGGTGTTCTTTCTTTCTGTAGGACATAAGCAGCTCTATGACCAATAGCACAGCTGCCAGTAGACCCCCGGTCACTCTGAGGCTGGTGGTTCCTGCTAGTCAGTGTGGCTCTCTCATTGGAAAAGGTGGTTGCAAGATCAAGGAAATACGAGAGGTTAGTGACTTAATGCTCCTTTTAGAAATGTTAACAATTTGTTCCAAATTGGCTCTTGGTATGGCTAGGAAAAGTTAATGAAATGAAGATTTTTATTAAAATAACAGTTCGGAGGATTACAGTGTGATTGTATTGAAAATAAAACTATCATGCAATAGGATTATTTTGCATAATTCATAAATTTTAATAAATCAGCCTGAGAAAGTTAATCATAATTTTCAAGTATTACATATAACAAGCGTCCATTTATTTTTTTTGGCAACGTTTTCATGTCTTGAGATAACAGAGTAGCAACAGTTTCCTTTATCTTTTTTAATTTTTAAAAACCAATTTTTTTTTCTCCTGTCACTCCAGGTTGTAGTGCAGTGGCTCAATCTTGGCTCATTGTAGCAAAACATCAGCCTTCCCAGGCTCAGGTGATCCTCTCATCTCAGCCTCCAGAGAAGCTGGGATTATAGGCTCACACCGCTACACCCTAACTAATTTTTGTAATTTTTATAGAAATGAGGTTTTTCCATGTTGCTGGTCTCAAGCTTCGACCTCAGGTGATCCACCTGCCTTGGCCTCCCAAAGTGCTGGGATTACAGGTGTGAGCCCCCACGTTTTTTTTTTTTTTTTTGGAGGCAGGATCTCACTCTCACAGGCTCCAGTGCCGGGCATAATCATGATCATGGCTTACTGCAGCCTCAACTTCCTGGGCTCAGAAGATCCTTCCACCTCAAGCCTCCTTAGTAGCTGGGACCATAGGCGCTCCACGATGCCCAGCTGATTTTTGTATTTTTGTTGTAGAGGCAGGGGTTTCACTGTTTTGCTCAGGCTGAGCTCCAGATATTAGACTGTCTTGGTCTCCCAGAGTGCTCAAATTACAGGAGTGAGCCACCGTGCCTGGCTCCTACTTCCTGTTTAACTATGGAAGTTACAGTTAGGGAAGATCTTAATTGTGTCTAGAGGTTATTGAATTTGGTGTTGGAATGAAAGTCCATGGCTGCTTATTTGAGTTTTTGGGAGCCTATTGTACATGGCATGACAACAGAGATCTTCATTTTGTTGATTCCTGTATTCTGAGCACTTGGCATGGTACCTGGCACATAGAATGAACTTGATGTAGAAGATATTTATTCAGTAAGATAATGAAAGGTGGATGATATTTGTGGCGCTTTTGCTTTGCCCAGAGAGCTATCATTAGTTGAGAGGAAGCTGTCTAGAAGGACCTTTTGCTTGAGAGTAGGTTAAATTTAGGCTTTTATTCAGGCTTATTCTTATCTTTTAGTGGCTAATTTATTTTTAACTCTAATTGATTAAACAGTTCTATCTGGAAGAAGGGAAGAGTGGGACAAAGAACAAAAAGGGAAGATGGGAAATGGGATAAATATCCGCCAGAGTTTTAGACTCTGAAATTGCTGCTGGGAGGAATTGGAAGAGCATGAGCTGTTTTTCTCTGATTCTGAATTTCTTTTTACTCCAAAGAGTACAGGGGCTCAGGTCCAGGTGGCAGGGGATATGTTACCCAACTCAACTGAGCGGGCCATCACTATTGCTGGCATTCCGCAATCCATCATTGAGTGTGTCAAACAGATCTGCGTGGTCATGTTGGAGGTAAGCCCTCAGGCTCATGCTGAGAATGGGGGGAGGGCAATTCTGGGGACAGAAGGACTGCTCTATATTTAGTAAGACTAGAATTAAGTGAAGCTGTTAAGGCTTCCAGTGGGGGTGGGGGTAAAAGGTTCCCTGAGTTCATATTTTCCTTCCCCTAGCTTTGGATTTTCTTATGGTCTGTGAGCAAAAATAGAAACTGCTAAGCAGCAGTGATCTTTTGGTTCATAGCAGTTGTAGCAGAGTGGGAGGGGAAGATGCACTACATGGACTGAAGAGGCCAAAATGCATATGTGTTCCTGAGTAGCTGAGTTAAATTATTTTTTTTGAATTACTATATTTGGGTTACATGGAAATTTGACATGCTCTTTAACGACTTGTCACTTTGTAGCAGGGTATTCAAAATGTTGTAGAATAAAAAAATAATACGCATGATGATGTTTCTGAATGACTTAGGAGGTCCTGATTATGTACCATTATTCTATTAAGAATAGCAAAATTCAGGAAAATTAAGCCTTTTCAGATTTGTGATATGGAATTGGTTTCATTGGTGAGAAATGAAACTGGAGTTTTTTCTTTCTTTTGTGTGTGTGTGTGTGTGTGTGTGTGTGTGTGTGTGAGTGTGTGAGAGACAGACAGACACGGGTCGCCCTGTCACCAAGGCTGGAGCGCAGTGATACGATGTCGGCTCAGTGCAACCTCTGCCTTCCAGGCTTAAGTGATCCTTTCACCTGTCTCCTCAGTAGCTTGGTCTACAGGCATGTACCACCACACCTGGCTTATTTTTGTTACTTTTTGTAGAGACAGGATTTTGCCATGTTGCCCAGGCTGTTCTTGAACTCCTGAGCTCAGGCCATCCACCTGCCTCGGCCTTCCAAAGTACTGGGTTTCCCAGCATGAGCCACTGTCCCCAGCTAGAAACTCGAATTTTCAAGTAGAGATTAGCAAAACGTTGATTGGGCCTTTGAACTATTTATAGATAGTGTCTATATTATTCTAGACAAAACATTTGAGTACTACTTTATTTCCAGTTTTGACTTTATTTTCTATTCAGGCCAAAAAATGTAAACTAAAAACTACCAACTAAAATGTATACATTTACACAGTTATTCATGTTCATTAAATTTACTTAAAACTTTGAAAATAGTGCCAAAGATTATTACAAGCATATCTTCCTTGATAAGAATTAGTATGAATTGTGTAGTCCTTGGAGTTACTGCATTAAAGGCAAATAACTTTTAGTAGATAATTTGGGATTAGGTCTAGCCAGAGACAATTTGGTGTAGGTAAGGGGATGGAAATAGTTTTTAATTTAACTGACCTGTGTGAGCTAAAGCCACACAGCTGAAGCAGCTTTGAAACCTTATCTCTTTTTGTTTTTTTCCCCTCTGACTCTCTCCCAGTCCCCCCCGAAGGGCGTGACCATCCCGTACCGGCCCAAGCCGTCCAGCTCTCCGGTCATCTTTGCAGGTGGTCAGGTAAGAAAATTCTTATTGGTGGGCTAGAGTGAACAGAGATTATATTTGAAATGTCAACTTTGCCGGCATCACACCAAACCACTCTGCATGCTTGCTGAAACCTATACTCTGGCCATAGTTTGACCTGCTTTTAGTTTTATTTTTTGTACTGGAGAAAGCTGTGAATGCCTTAATTTTTAGCAGGCAATGGAAGTTTTGTAGGCACTCAGAAGAGGTAACTTACTTGGTTACTCAAGGCGGGTTGGGTTAGAATTTCCTCACTGTCACTACTATCTCTCCCTATCCCCACCCCATCCATGTTTTATATGTGTGGGGTGATATTTAGAGGTCTAAATAAAAGGTAGCAAAGAGTTGGACCTCTGAAGGAGATTCTGGATGGTGGTCTCAAAATTTGGGGGTCCTGGATTTGAGTGTCCTACAAACTTCCCCTTCCCTCCACCTCACCTCCCCTACTCCTACCCCTTCACTCCCAAACTCCAGTGTGTTGTCCCCTAGGCTCTTAACCTCATAAACACTGGTTTGAACCCACATGGCATAACTGAAATCAGCTGGGGTAAGAGTTCAGTATGTAAGAATAGAAGGGGGTTGAGCATGTTGGGCTCTGGTGCTGTGACCTTTGGTGTTAGAGTAAGAACACCAAAGCACCCCCTTGGCCTCTCTCTGCTCCTTCCTCACCAGCCTAAACTCTTGATCTTTGGCACATGAACTATTCTGAAGTTAGATTATTATGACTGAAGTTAGATTATTATGACCAAAGCATTGATCCAGGACCATGGTAGTCCTGTGCTCTGATTGTATTTGAGGAGTAGGTAGGTCAGTTTTTAAAATACAGTTGGCCCTTTGCGTTTGTGGGTTCCACCTTCAACCTACCTCAGATCAAAAATATTCAGGGAAAAAATGGGTGGTTGCATCTGTACTGAACATGTACAGGCGTTGTTTTGTCATTAACAGTATAAAAAGTATTTAGTGTTTACATTGTATTAGGTATTATTAGTAATAGAGAGATGATTAAAGTATATGGGAAGATATGCTTAGGTTATATGCAAGTACTATACCATTTTATGTAAAAGACTTGAGTATTGGCTGGGCGTGGTCACTCATGCCTGTAATCCCAGTACTGTGGGAAGCCAAGGCAGGCGCATCATCTGAGGTCGGGAGTTCAAGACCAGCCTAGGCAACAAGGTGAAACCCCATCTCTACTGAAAATACAAAAATTAGCCCGGCATGGTGCATGCCTGTAATCCCAGCTGCTCAGCTGGCAGAGGCAGGAGAATCTCTTAAACCTAGGAGGCGGAGGCTGCAGTGAGCTGAGATCACGCCATTGTGCTCCAACCTGGGCAACAAGAGTGAAACTCTGTCTCAGAAAAAAAAAACTTGGCATATTCATGGATATTTTTTTCTGTGGGGGGATCCTAGAACTAATCCCCCACTGATAACCTAGGAACACTTAGGGACAACTGTATTGGGATTCAGGTTAAAATAGTGTCTGATTTTGTTAGCTACCTAAGCAAGTGCATTGCTTAAAATACCTTTTCCCACTTCGGGCTGGTCTGTTATAAGCATATTTAGTTAACTAGTTTCATCTTATTTGCATTTGATTTGGGAGCCATTTAGAGGACAAGCATAAACTTGGGAGGCCATCTCATTCACATTCTGTTGAATTGTCATAAAAATGATCAAGTTTTTAGGGATTTAGTTTGTCCTGTAGATATCATAGCTACTTTCACAGGAAGGTTAGTTATGTCACAGTATTACCTTGAGTTTAGTACCTTGCTTTTAGCACTAGCCTTGTACAAACTGGTTTGGCCAAAGGGCTCTCAGTCCTAGACAGTCAGAATTGGGCAGGATAAGCAAAGGACCAGAGTCAGTGTAGCCAGGAGGGGTTAGCCTTTGGAATCTTTCCTTCCCAGGAACACCAGGTTCCTGCTCTTCTGGATTCTCCCACTCACCTTTGGAATATAGAGTCCCATACTGGGTGGCAGCAACCCTCTCTGCTTAAAATTCTTCCTTCATTTCCTTTTTTCCCCTCCCCATCACACCTCCCCCTTCATACCTCTTTGCTTCCCTACCTGCCTCCCTCCCTCACCTTTATTTAGTCGACCACCGTCTAAAAACTTGCAGTTTCTTCTATGAGTGGCCCTGTCATGGATCGTTCCCACAGGCCTTTTTAAATATCCAGTATCCACAGATGGACCTGTGTCTTTTGTTCCTTTGTGGCAAAGTGGGCTCTGTAGGGGTTCAACTTAATCCCACACTGACTAGGAGCTGGCATCAGCTCTGTTGCCCCACCCCTTTATTCTTACTGAAAATAGCCCAATTGTGCAGTGTGAAATCTGCCACTAGGTAACTTTTTTTTTTTTAATTCACTGATTACAGCTCGTTTCAAATTGTGTTTGAGCTCCTTTTTAAAGGAAAAAGGAAAAAAAATAAACTTTTTTTTGTGTGAATTTCATGCTGGTGACAAGGTGCCGGATTGACAGCCCTGGAGACTGAAATCCTCTATTTATCCACAGGACAGGTACAGCACAGGCAGCGACAGTGCGAGCTTTCCCCACACCACCCCGTCCATGTGCCTCAACCCTGACCTGGAGGGACCACCTCTAGAGGTGAGAGGGGATGTTCAGTCTCCAAGGCTCACTCAATCCTTCCGCCTCAGCCGAGACTGCCAACACGCGGGGGGCCAGTGGCGCTGGTGATTTTTGGTGCTGTGGACACCACCTGTCCACGGGGACCTGGACTGACCCCCCCAACCTCATTTCACCCAGGCCGCGTAGCCCACCAGATGGTAACACCAACTTTTTTTTTTTTTTTTTTTTTTAATTTTTTTTGTTCAACCCCTCTTCCCTTCTCCCACTCCTACCCCATTTTCACCCTTCCTTCCGCCCCCACCTGGGTATACTTTTGGGGGTACTGGCCACTGTGATGTGAGAAGCTTCACATCCTGTTAACCAGCCACTCCTTCCTTCCCTTCCCTCCCTGTTCCCTCTTCCTTTCCTCCTTGTTCCCCACCCCATTGCCCTGAAGATCCAGCTCCCTTTTTGGGAGGTTCCGTTGTGGGGGGAGGAGGGCTTAGTGGGAGCTGCAAGTGCCTTTTATGGAGGGGAGGTGGGAGAAGACAGGAATTAGAACACAGTGGATTTTGTGTACCTGTGATCAACTCCCTAGTGTTAGGGACTCAGCTAGCATTCAGTGTTCTTAAGGTCTTTAGGCAGAAAAATAAGTTGGGGAAAAAAGGAAGTGTTTCAAAACATGCCATGTAGGTTTGTGCAGATACAGATTTCCCACATCACCACAGTTGGTAGAAGGGTTGGGGTGGTGAGGGAAGAGACCATTATTCCTCCTATGCTATCTTGTATACAGGGAGGAAGAGTGGGGCTTGGTCAGTTGAGGCATTGCTAATCTCACTTCCCACATTTTCATTAAGAAACAGTTACATATATTTTGCCTTTAATTGCAGGGAACTTGACTACCTTTATAGGATCCCCGGAGTAAAGTTACACTTAGGGTTCAAAGAAGGCCAATTTGGGTCTGACTGTATTTGTGAGATTCCATCTATTGCCTCAGTCTCTGGCCTCCCCGATTCTGTAATTCAACTCTGGCTTCCTGGCTAGTTGATATGTCTTTTTCCCCCCCACTGGGTGGCTGTCCGTGATTGGTTTTTAATAGGAACTGTTTTCCTCCTTTTGTAGGCCTATACCATTCAAGGACAGTATGCCATTCCACAGCCAGATGTAAGTTTTGTTTTCACTTCTTGTTTTGAAAAGCTCCCTCTCCCATCCAAAATTGTCTCACTCCTTTCTCCCAAGTAGCCAGAAGTGAGTTGGGTCTTTGTTTTCTTCACAAGGTCAATCCATATTTCAGCCCTTTCATCAGGGTAATGCCTCGTTTGCCTTTTGACATTTAACCCCTGAAATTTAATTCAACATACTAGGTTCTCCTTTCCCCTGTGTTTCAGATTACCCTGTCTAAAAGAGAAATGTTCCATGGTATACTGTGATTTGTTATTTCAGGGCACAGTTTAAATTGACATTCGGACTGTGCTTCCTTGCATGCTCTTCTTTCCATGGGGGTATTGGGAGGTTGGGTTTGCCCTTGGGTACTCCTCACTCTGCGGTGACAATTTTAAAAATATTTGGAGGGATGGGGAAGAGGCTTATTTACACAGAGGGATAGGAACCTGAATTATTTCAGAATTAAACCTTTCTTTTTGCTAAAGCCTCCTATTTAAAAGTGCTGGTATTTAGACTTCAGGGGCATTTCTTTCTGCACTTTTATCCTTACTAACCTTTTCAGGTACTGAGTATTAGACTTGGGAAGTTGAGTTTGGGTCTTGGTTAGTGGTAGGCCCCAGGAGAAAGGGAATTAGACGTGAAGAAGGATTATTTTATGAGAGGACAGTTTATATAAATGAATAAAAATAGCTGTAGTAGTCAGTGGTGGCAGTGATGGGACTAAACCCAGTATGGTTTCTTAACTTCTCTCCTCCTTCCAGTCTCCCTGCCCTCCTCATCTCCTTCCCTCTCCCCAGTACTGATAAAACCCTGCATGGTGTGTTTTCCCTAGCACCACTGCACAGTTTGTTTACCTAGCCTGTCTGTGCTTGTCCCTGCGGCAACTGTTGCAATGGCTGCAAACTACCTTCATTAAGTAGCCCACAAGGGGACGGTGGTGGGGCAAGTGCTGTTGCTTTTCTATTCACACACCCAAAACGCGTTCATTCTCTTAGAGACAACCTTTCTATTTCTAACCTTTACCCTTCATATTTTGCCAGTCCCCAGGATTGTGATGTAAACCCCATCCCTACCCTCTGTTGTAGTTTGAGTAGTAGAGTCAATTTTGGGGATCAGGACCTGCATTTTCTCATTTGAATGTGTTTGAGCCCTGGCTCTGTTAAATCTTCTAATGCCAACCTCCTGTTTCCTCCTTGCAGTTGACCAAGCTGCACCAGTTGGCAATGCAACAGTCTCATTTTCCCATGACGCATGGCAACACCGGATTCAGTGGTATGGATACCTCAGTGTTTATTTCTGTAAGGTGTAGTGCAAGAGAGAGGCCAGTCCCAAGGTCTCAGCTTGACATCTGTTTAAAACAAACTTCGTTATCCAGCATCCTGCTGGTTTAAACTTGCCTGTCTACTATGGCTAAGCCCAAGGAGGTAATGTGTTTGTTAACGTGGTTTTCATTTGGGGTCAGTTATTCTAAAAGAAAAAAAGCCCTGGAAGGTTTGGGGGTGAGGTTTGGGGATGCTTGTCAGGTGAAGGGTAGGCTGATATTTCTTTGAGCCCATCCTGACTGTTGCCCCCTTGATCTGATGAGCACCCCCTTTCTCTCCACCAGCAATTCACAGGCTTGGGTAGAGACCATCCATTTGTGCCAAATTGTGTAGTGTTTTTTTGTTTTTGTTTTTGTTTTGTTCTGTTTTTGGGGCTTTTCTGTATAAGGAATAACTTGTCCGATAGGGTTAGGATGAGACCACCAAACTCATTTTCACTTGTATCTTAACAGGCATTGAATCCAGCTCTCCAGAGGTGAAAGGCTATTGGGGTAATGATTAAAAAAAAAAATCTGTAGTATTCTACTGTTATATTAATAAACTGGTGGGAGTCTTGTTTCACTGCCCATGAACCATACCAGCAACATGCACATGGCAGAGAGGAGCTGAGAGAGCAAAGGGGTGGGCCTGGTGCCCCCGAGGGTCCCTTGATGGATCTGGCCAACCCCCTTCTAAAAATGTTGAGACCAGCAGCCATAGCTGAGATTAGGACTAAGCTTGAGTGTTAGCCAGCTGACCTGGTTCAGTCCAGGTGTTAAAGATGGGTTATGGGTATTTGCTGATGGGGTTTTTTTTTTTTTTTCTTTTTCTTTGTAAAACGAAAGCCAGAACAAAATTATTGAGCAAAAGACAGGGAGTACATCTGGAGAAATGAAGTCCCCTCACCTGACTGCCATTTCATTCTATCTGACCTTCCAGTCTAAGTTAGGAGGATAGGGGGTGGAGGGCGTTAATCTGATAAAGGTATATTTAAAGCAACTCTGCATGTGTGCCAAAAGTCCGTGATACCCATTAACAGGCATAATATTGGCACTGGTGCTAGTGAGCATCAGGTGAGATACAATATGGAACACAGCAGGAAAGGGATAGAAGTACAGAAGGACTTGTTTAGATTTTGATCCTCTTTGAGGATACCACTCCCTTGCCCTTGCTTCCATTCCCCATCCCTAATAGTCTGGGCTTTGCAGGAAATGGCATGAAATCAGCTCTTCTGAGTGTACAGAAGAACCTTTCGAGCATTATTTCTACACCCTTTTCCCCCCCTCTTTCCTCTTTGGAGGCTTCCAAGTTAGTGATGAATCCCAACAGCCAGTGCTGGGTTTCCAGTTTATTTCCTTCTGTTAGTTTAATGTGCAAGTCAATGGGGTTTTGAATGCTGTGCATTGAATTTGCTTGCTCTCTTCTGTCTTTTAGCAGGTTTGGATGCATCTGCTCAGACTACTTCTCATGAACTCACCATTCCAAACGATGTAAGTGTAGTTAGGGTACATGGGATGAAAATAAGAAAATTGGTTTTAAAGAAACAGACATTTTCAGCAGTGTCCTGCTATTTTTAATTTATTTGTTTTTGAGACAGAGTTTTACTCTTGTGGCCTAAGCTGGAGTGCAGTGGTGTGATCTTCGCTCGCTCTAACCTCTGCCTCCCGGATTCAAGCGATTCTCATGCCTTAGTCTCCCGAGTAGCTGGGATTATAGGCATGTGCCACCATGCGCAGCTCATTTTGTATTTTTAGTGGAGACAGGGTTTGTCTATGTTGGGCAGGCTGGTCTTGAACTCCTGACCTCAGGTGAACCACCAGCCTTGGCCTCCCAAAGTGCTGGGATTATAGGAGTGACCCACCTTGAACTTGACACTTAAGAGATCCTCCCATCTCGGCCTCCCGAGTAGCTGGGATCACAGGTGCCACCACTAAGCCAGGCTTAATTATTTTTGTGTATATATATATATATATATATATATATAATTTTTTTTTTTATTTTTATAAAGATGGGATTTCACCATGTTGCCGAGGCTGGTCTCAAACCCCTGAGTGGAAATGATTGGCCCACCTCAGCCTACAGGCCTGAGCCACTGCCCCCCCACCAGAGTTTAGTGATTCATGAACGTTAGATCTGTGCTGTCCAAGGTTATATGATAACAGTAACCACATGTGGGTATTCAACTTGAGAATAGTAAAATGACTGTAGTTCCTCAGTCTCCCTTGCCACAGTTCAGGTGTTCAGTAACCACGTGTTACTGTTTACAGTATTGGATAGTGCAAATATAGACCAGTTTTCTTTCGTTGTTTTTACCTTTTACCAAGGCAAAAATACCTTAGGAATTGGCCAGAATTCTTGTCAGAATAGTAAGGTGGTGATCATGGCAGGATGACTGAATGTATTGCAACCTTTATTTTTAGCTGAGTTTATTCTTGGATTGGCTCTGGTTTATTTTGTCTTTGGAATTAATACTCTGAGGACAGAAATAATGAAGAACTAATACTTGGACCTAAGAGCGAGTTGTTTCAGAACTGGCTCTCATCATGGGTGGTTACACTCAAGAATGGGTCAAGAGTTAATTGAGTTTTTGATCAAAAAAGTATATGGGTAAAGGGTGTAGGATGAAGTTGGGCCTGGTGGTATGCACCTGTAATACCAGGCACATGGAGCACAGTGGGACGGAAGCTGAGGTGTGAGGATGGCTTCAGCTAAGGAGTTTGAGACTAGCCTGAGAAACATAGTAAGACCCTGTTGCAATTTTTTTTTTTTTTTTAAAAACGGCCAGGCATGGTGGCTCACGCCCGTAATCCCAGCACTTTGGGAGGCCGAGGAGGGCAGATCACGAGGTCAAGGGATCGAGACCATCCTGGCTATCATGGTGAAACCTCATCTTTACTAAAAATATAAAAAGAAATTAGCCGGATGTGGTGGTGCACGCATATAGTCCCAGCTACTCAGGATGCTGAGACAGGAGAATGGCTTGAACCGGGAGGTGGAGGTTGCGGGTGAGCTGAGATCGCTCCACTGCACTCCATCCTGGCCACAGGGTGGGTGAGACTGTCTTTAAAAAAAGGATGTTTAAAAAAGGTAGTTTTTTTTAACCGTCGCTGTTTTCTGTGACCCAAGTTGTAGGAGCTAAGGAGAGGGTGGGATTATTGGACCTAGCCGTGCAACTCTAATTCACTGTGCCTTGATTTTCTCCCTTAAGTTGATTGGCTGCATAATCGGGCGTCAGGGCGCCAAAATCAATGAGATCCGTCAGATGTCTGGGGCGCAGATCAAAATTGCGAACCCAGTGGAAGGATCTACTGATAGGCAGGTTACCATCACTGGATCTGCTGCCAGCATTAGCCTGGCTCAATATCTAATCAATGTCAGGTAAGATTTCCCTACCTTTTGTCTTATTCGTACCAACACATTAACGTGTTGGGGAAAGCTGCAGTATATTATTAAATACAAGATTACATGGGGAATGGGTGGAGATGGCCAGAATTTGTTTGCTAGCCCTACTTTCTTTGAGTGTAGCAGAAAAAGTAAACAAATTGCAATAAGTTTGCAAGGGTTCGGGGAGGGAGGAACAGAGATTGCCTGCATTTAACTTGATTGTTTGGGAAGTGGAAAGAATGGCCCGTGTCTTTAATAAATAGGAGAATCTTCTGGCTAGAGCACTCACTGACAGAATCAAATGTGGGTCTTTCTTGTTCTACATAGCATATAGACTACTATTTCTTTGATTTGATTTGGGGTCCAGAGCACCCTTAATTGAAATGATGACAGTGGAATATTAGGACAGCAAGGCAGTTTCTTGGAGGCAGCAATTATCATTTATTCTGGAAACACCCATTTTTCTCAAATTGCATGTGTTATTGTTCAAAGCTTGTGGGAATGTGGGAAGCACAGGTATTGGAATGTTTAGAGAAGTGTGTGGTATGTTTTTTATCTCACCCCTCCCCCAGTCTTGTCCCTTAATGACTTCGTGAGGGTTTTTTCCCCCTTACCCACAGCTAGCTAATGTTACTACACTCAGAATTTTAGGACAATGGTCCCAGTCAAATGGGATTGCTTTCTCAGCTCTTGAGCTTAAGTCGCACCCTTAATTGCTTATTAACATTTTAAAGCATTGTTAGCCCTGAGGCCCTTAGGTCCCTTTTAATGGAGAGTATTGTCTAGTTGTCATTTACCTTTCTTGTAAGTGTCTGGTCTCTTTGTCATAAAAGTTTTGCATGAGTTCCTGAAACTAGTATGGGGAAAGGAATTCATAAATATGAGATCTGTATTATCATGCTTGTACTGACCATGTATGTATGCCATGGTTATTTAGCCCTAGCTAAGAACTTACCGGTTCCCCAGTAGCAATCTGACTTTTGTCTTAGGTCTCTTCATATCTTGAGGTGCTGCTACTCTTGGTATAGAAAAGCTTTCCCATTCCTGGATTTGTTTTCTTGTCCATCCACTAACTAAGCACACTAGGTCCTTAATGTTCAGAATGATAAGGTAGTACCAAAATTTTACATAGAGGTTGTTTGCAGAGGTTCTTTTAATAGAGACAGGGTTTCACCTTGTTGGTCGGGCTTGTCTCCACAATTTCCAGACCTCAAGTGATGTGCCTCCAAAAGTGCTGGGATTACAAGAATTATTTTTCTTATTCTGACTAGGATTTTGGAGAGGAGTTTTCAGTGGCAACAGTCATGTTTTTGAAAGCTGGAATTTGTTTTGTTCTTTTGATAGGCTTGCCCTTCATAAAATTTAAATGTGACCTGCTTGCCTAGCCCCTGCAATAGGTCAGTGGCTACATTGTAAGGAAATAGAATTCTCTAGTTCGAGTCAGTCTTTTCAGGATCATTCTTGCTGAATCATCCTAACCATGGGTTAGGGTCAGTACTTTTCAGAGCTTCATCTAACACCGAAGCAAGGACTATGCATGCACAAAGTTTATTCTTTCTCATCTTGGTCCAGTTTAAATGCAGAAGTCAGAAGTGTTTTTCATTTTTTTTAGGCAAGAAGCATTTTAATGGCTTCTGAGCATTTTCTCCTGTCTAGATTTTTTTGTGGTGGCAGTCTGAGTCCTTTTATATAGTTAGTAGAGATCTGTATCCCTCTCCTTTATGGATTGCAGCTGTCCTTGGACATAGGTAAACAAAATGAGGTTTTAAGGGGAGCCTTTCTGCTCTTGAAGACGTTGGTTTGTGGGCTCAGTTATCCAGGCAGACTTCTCAAATGTAAGTAGTTCTGACTTAGACACATACAGGAATTTGGGAGACACATATCCTTACTGTTCTGTGGAGGTTATTTTAGGAGTAGAAGCAGCAGCATTTTCACTTTTTAAATATGAATTTTTAGGTGATGCTTGAGTTTCTCTTTTCCACTTCTGAAAAGTCCACATTAGAAGTATGATCAGTCAGAAACAAAGAACTTCTTATACCACCTCCCACCAGAAAAGCTTTCCTAGTTCTTATCTACACTTCTGTTCTCAGCATTTTTCTTTGAAAACGCTACATTCTTTGAAATTTGAAATTAGTCAGTGACCTACTTTGGACTCTTGTTTCCTTCAACCCTAATATTGGTTTGTTTTGGAAATTTAAGCAGACTTTAATACTACAGCTGAAAGGATTTTTTAAAATTGTGTTTATAAATACTCAAAGCTTCATAAGAAATTTCAGGTTAATTGATTTTCCATTAGAATAGGAAATTGACATTTGATTGGAGGAAACATTTCCTCTTTGTTGGATGATTGATGAGTATTTTTCATTTTCTACCTGAAATCATTCCTTCAACGTCTGGGTTGGGTCAGTGTGTCAGATATATGGAAGTACATGCTCTGTGATTTGATTTCATAGCTTTTTCTATGCCAGTTTTTAAGTAGCTTTGTGGAATGGAAGTATACATATTTAGAGGGTGGGACACAGGCTAAAAGAGAGCTTGTCACAAGTTGATACTAGATTTTCCTAATTGTCAACCAGAGGCACTTACTGATATAACTGAAGCAGTTTTTGTCCTGTACTTATTCCCTTTTGTGGTCTTCCCTTCCACCCACCCTTTTTTTTGTTCCTTTTTTCCTCTGTTACAGTTTAGAAAACGCTAAACCCTCCTCCCAGGCAGCCTCCGTCACGATCCCTGATCACCTCAGCATCAACCTCTCTCAACCCTCCACCCCTTCTTCTTCTTCCTCCTCCACCACCACCCCCTCGCTCGCCACAGCGGGGACCTCCGACGCACCCTCCAGCCTCCCCAACCCTCTTCCGACCGCCCCTTGTGTCTCCAGTCTGCTTGGCATGAAACCCATCCCTCTCCTGGCTCTAAATGTTGTGTCTGCTGCTAAGGGTACCGGGGCTTCAGCTACCACCACCACCACCTCTGCCGTGCCATGTGTAACTAACAAACTGAAAGGCGAGAAACAGAGATTCTCTCCCTACTGATTGCATATCTTGAGGCACCTCCTCCAGTATTATTTGGTTCATTTTGTTTTCCTTTGTTAACATTGGTGAGAATGAAACTATTGTGAGCTTGTTCCTTTTCCTTTTTGCTACTTTGGGGGATAACTGGGTGGGGGTGGGGGGAGTGGTAACCCTTGTTTAGGTTTAGGCCATTTCAGCTGAGTGCCTGTTTCAGGGTCTGACTTGAATTCTTTAGAGCCACAGTTTACTCTTCTTTCTTGTTTGTTACCTTTTCTTTGTAGTTTTATTCTGCCTTGCAATATAACAATGTGTTAGGCTCTGTGTTAATGAATAAAAGCTTCTCCGTTAAACTTTTTTTTTTTTTTTTTTTTTTTTTAAGAATTATTTAATGATTAAGCTATCAGCAGGCCTTCTTGGCCATATTTGTGTTTCTAGCTGTAATAAAGTTGGCGCAGTAAGAACCTTAGTTCACTGTGTGCTGTGAAGGGTAAAGGGTTGGGGGCTTGTGACTTGTGGCTCTTCAACCAGAAAGCCTGTATAACTGACATGGGCTTTTGGAATCCCAGGTTAATTTTATAGTCCTTTGTCAATATTCCCACAAAGAGATATGACTATGGCAGTTTAGATCCTGAGTGTCCTCTGTAATTGGCAACAAGCTTCATTAGTGAGGAAGTTTATCTGACTTCTCAAATGGCTTACCTTGCCAGCAGCAGCTAACAAGGTGTTCATGCCAGGTTTCCTCTGGTGAATGGTTACCATGAGGATCTCTTCCAAGTCATACATTCAAAGAACATATATTTTTTACTTAGAATGTAGAGGAGGGGCAAAGTGGGATAAGTCTAATAAAATTAGGCAGCTACTGTCTGCTCTGCATTCCTCTGAATTAGCATTATCCCTCTTTGTGACATTAAGTATATCTCAGCCAACCTGTGACATTATCCACAATTTGACATGATGACATCCACTCATCCTAAACCAACTCTGGTAGTCAACCAAGTTTCTTTGCACTTTTTTCTATTCCTTGCTGTACCCTTTCTCCTCCCCACCAACACTATCACAAGTAGGAAGTGACATGCTTACATTTGGAAGAAACCTTAAGGAACAACTAATCTGTGATACATTGATCCCCTCATTTTGCAGATTAAAAAATAGATGCCCTAAAGATAATTTAAATTCATAGATTGAGTGACTAGCCAGGACTAACAACTTAAACTTTACTTTAACTCAATCATATTAACCTCCCTAAAACCTTACTCATTTTCTTTGGGCACGGATCTCATAAAACAGTAGAAATGGTTTAGAATAGTAGCATAAAGCCTGTGATAGCCTTCCATTCAACCAAAGTACACATTGCCACAGTGCTGAAAGTATAACGCTCTTCCCAGGGTATTAGAGAACTCACTTTAGAGTTATTTTCCCTTTTCCAGCATCCCCACTGGTTGACATTAAAAACAAAACAAAACAGTATTCATATATATATATATAAATTTTTTTTAGAGATGGAGTTTCTTCATGTTGGTCAGGCTGGTCTCAAACTCCTGACCTCAGGTGATCCACCCACCTTGGCCTCCTGAAGTGGTGGGATTATAGGCTTGAGCCACTATGCCTGGCCATAGTATTCCAATATATTATCTCATTTTCTGATGTTATTGTGGCCCCTCCATCCCAGATTGGGTTTGTGAAGAAGTATTACATGGCCCAAGTCTGCATAAAGGATTAGATGGGCAAACCTGTCCAGTTAGTAGTTTTATTTAGTTGCTTCCTTATCATGTGGTCCAGCTCTCTCCCTTAGTAAGCTTGCTCCTTCTGTAGTTTGGACTTAATCATGCTGATACTATCTCCTCCCTGAGGGACCTCGTTTTATTTTATCTAGTTCTTGATTTGGAAGGTCTCTTAACCTAATGACTATTCCCAAGGAAGGATAGCTGGGAAAGATTCTAGATGTTTAAGGGGCTAGGTACCATCACTGCCTCTAAAGGCCCTCAGTTTTAAATTTGTTTAAAGCCTAGAGCTCCCCCATGTGGTTTGCTATTCTAGAGTGCCTGACTCAGTATTTCATAGTATTTCCTTTTCCCTCACCTTCCCCACCCCAGCAAAACCCCATTTGGGCTTGATATACATTCAGGGCATTTCTTCTAGAACTCTGGTAGGGCCAGAGTGCTACCACCAATTTTCATAAATGTAAATTTTTAGGTCCTAGATCTAATGGTATCTAGTAGTTTCTGTTTTTAAAATCGGCACGAATCTGCCCCCTTTTTAAGAACTAAATATTCCCTTAATGCTGAGGTGGAGAAACCATTTCTGACTAAAAATAAATACAGTTTGTACTTGAAGGACTCTTCAGTTTTCTGGCCCTTGCTTTTCTACCCAGCTTTTGGCTTTGCATTGTGTGGAAGGGATACAGATGGTGAATTACCAGTCATGTTCTCGTGACCACATATCACAAATATTTATGCTAATCAATCTAAAATCTTTATGAATAACTTCATGAACTGAAAAGAAGTCTTACACATTTGGTTCTATTCAAAATGGGAGCAAAGTCTTGGTGCCTGCCTACCTGCCTACCAGTGAAGCATACGGAGTACTTAAATACCTTTCCCTGAAAGCCCTAAATTGGATTCCAGGACCTCAAATGACCTCTTTGAAACAGAAAGGAAGGCATTGTAGTCTGGTATGTTCAGATGGATGTGGCTTGACAAGATCTAGGAGCTTTGTAGAGTGAGCTACGTAGTTGAAACATTATTTTTTCTGCTATTTTTAAGTCCTGAAAAGTTTTCAGAACTTAAGGCCAGGTGCAGTGGTTCATGCCTGTAATCTCAGCATTTTGGGAGGCTGAGGCAAGTGGATCACCTGAGGTCAGGAGTTCGAGACCAGCCTGACCAACATGGTGAAACCATGTCTCTACTAAAATGCAAAAAGCCGGACATGGTGGTGTGCACCTGTAATCCCAGCTAATCCAGAGGTTGAGGCAGGGGAATTGCTTGAGCCTGGGAAGCAGAAGTTGCAGTCATCTGAGATCATGCCACTGCACTGCAGCCTGGGTGAGAGAGCTAGACTGACTCTCTCCCCGCCTCCAAAAAAAACCCCAAAAACCAATAAATGGATATAATTCTTTACCCATAGTTAATCTTTTTATATCTCTTTTTAACATCTCTTAACCTTTAAAACTGTGGTACCTCATAATATCCTACACTGGTAGAAATCCAGGGCTTTAAAGGCCTTGAGTTGTCTCAGCATTAAACCCTTGAGGCTCTCAGATGAGTGTTCTCTTTCCTAAACTGGTATTCTGCCAGCAGTTTGGGAGGAGCCAAAGTGAGCTCAGCAGTAAAGAAACATTGCTTCTGTGTATTGTGAGCACTCTATAGTGAGCAGCATGTTTTCAGAAAGTATTCTCCATGGTTAACACACTGTGGAACTAAAAACGTAGTTTGAGGAACATTTGGTAACCAAGGGCTCTGTTTCCCTTACTCCTGAGGTGATAGACCTCCACGTGCTTGCATTGCAAGGATTAAAGGATTATGGTATTGGTAAATTTAAGAAACCTTAATGTCTCCCCTGATACTCCAGCACTGATTACTCTTCACATTTCATGAACCAGGTAGAGATGAGGTGCAGCTGGCCACTGGGGAAACTAACTGAGTTCTTGTTTCTGTGTTACAGGCTTTCCTCGGAGACGGGTGGCATGGGGAGCAGCTAGAACAATGCAGATTCATCCATAATCCCTTTCTGCTGTTCACCACCACCCATGATCCATCTGTGTAGTTTCTGAACAGTCAGCGATTCCAGGTTTTAAATAGTTTGTAAATTTTCAGTTTCTACACACTTTATCATCCACTCGTGATTTTTTAATTAAAGCGTTTTAATTCCTTTCTCTGTTCAGCTGTTGATGCTGAGATCCATATTTAGTTTTATAAGCTTCTCCCTGGTTTTTGTTTTTGTTCTTGGTTTTGTTTTTTTTTTTTGTTTTTTTTGTTTTTTTTTTTTTTTTTTTTTTTGGTTTTTTTTTTGGCTCATGAATTTTTCTGTTTGTCATGGAAATGTAAGAGTGGAATATTAATACATTTCAGTTTAGTTCTGTAATGTCAGGAATTTTTCAAAAAAATTAAAAGATGGACTGGAGCTTTTTCTTTGTGAATAGAAACTGGATGCCACAGTGATTCATGTGGGTTTTATTCCTCTTGTCTTGCTGTTATTTTTGTACCTTTTATCCCTCAAAGGACCCTCCTTGGGTTTTGAATAGAAGCCTTTATTCAAGTTAAGATGTTTTCTTATCTTTTACCACTTCCATCTTTTTTTGTGGCCCTTAATCAGATTTTTCTCTTACCTCGTACTTGGTTGGCCCTTATAAACCTGTGCCCAAAAGATGGAGGATTAGACTTTCCTAGGACTTACCTGTCCTAGGAGTAGGCGTGCACTTCCACTGGGGGTTGGTAGAAAGGAATGACACATGACATACATGGCATACACAGGAAGCAGTTGGTTGTGTGTGTGTCTGACTGGGTTCCAGTTTCTTGGGAATGTTGGTCCTCTTGTTCAGGCTTGTTTATTTTAAACTAAAAGTTTCAGTCTATTGTTCTTAGTAACTTCATTTATAGTCCTCCATAACAAGTTAGAAGGATATACCTGCTATCATTTATTCCTATAATTTTAGAAAGTTGGGGCTTTACGTTATACTCATTTAGTGAGAATAGATGCATAAAAGTGGAGGGGCAGGAGAACTTGTCCAAACACCTCAGATAAAGTCTTGAGCTCAAGGCTTTGTCTTAACCATGTATGGTACCCCATTCATTCGTCAAGAAAACCCTCAACAGCTGGGCCTGCATGGAGTGGTTATATTTCAAGGTTTTTCACAGGGGTTACAATATGACAGTTCCCACCCCAATCAGGCACCAGGATAAAAGCAGGGACTTAAACAGCATCCCAGTTCTTCAGCCTGAGCCGTCACATGCTATCAGTCTCCTAACCTCCCCCTGGGCCCTAAGGGCTTGGGCAGAGAAGATAAATGGAGGGACAAAAAAATGAGTTACATTGCCACCTGAGAAATTTCAGAGGGGAGGACCCAGCCTTGGTCTCCCTCCTCCCAAGTGCAAAATGTGTAAACAGAGTAAACGGAAAACAGAAAAGTGCAGTCTAAGTGTTTTCTCTCCTGCCCCTCCCACCCTTCCCCTCTCCCCAGTATTTGGGGATAAAGAGTATAAAGACAAGCCTGGCTCTTTTATTGCCTTGTTGCTTGCTGAATGTAAGGAATGGAGTTGGGCAGGAAGGGGCCAGTTTGCCCTTATGCACAGCTAGACAGCTATGCCTCATTCATTTCCACAGCTGCCAGAGTCCCTAGAGTTTATCAGGTGAATTGGTCAGGGGATCAGTCTCCCTCAAGCCTGACTTAATGGCTGGGACAGCCCCATCTTTCTGTTGATTATGTGGCGCGCATATATATATATTTATATATATATATAATTTATATAAATATTTCTCTATGTACACGGAATATGAGTGGCTTTCATGGAGGGAGGGAAGCTGGGGGCCGCAAGGCATCAATGCTGTTGGAGTTGTCCAATTCAGTGCTGTCACAGTCTGAGTCCTCAGAATTGGGAGGGCCCTGTGAGGAAGAGTAGAAATGCAGTGAGATTCCTTAAGGTTCTTTGCTGGGATCATTTTAATAGCCAGTGGCTTACTGATTTTATTCCTTCCAGGTTTCAGTTGCTCAGGCCATTCTCCAAGGTGTCAGACTCCTACTTGTAGAATCCTTCCCTGGCTGCAATTTATAGCTACATACAAGCTACTGGTCAGGCACCACAATAGATGCTCTGTGCTATAGGCTTCTGAAATTCCACCACATGGATATTTGTTCTTTACAGTACTTTCTGGCCTGTGCATCTGTCTTCCCAAAAGCTGTTAAGGCATCTGCTTACAGCTCTCCCAGTTCAATATCTGCTTGTTGCTGTTCTACCACTCACCTGCTTTCCTCTGAGAAGTTCCTGGTGTGGAATGGGCAGGGAGCTGGGTTCAGGGCCAGGGATAACCTCTGAAGGAGGTGGGTCCAGTGGGATTTCTGAGCCTTGGGAGCACATGTCATCAGACCGGTCATCTGGCCGCTCATCAGTGTTGGTGCTGCCAACTTCAGGTGTGCCACTGGGGGAAGGTTCACTAGCTGTGCCTTCCTCCCCATCTGATGGATTCTCTGAGCTGAAGGTAGATAGTGACTGGCGCATGTTCAGGCTCTGGGGCCACCTACATGTTGGAGAGAGCAAGGATTACAACTTGGTTCTGCCCTTTGCAGGAGACAAGAATGCCATTACTTCTTGTACTCATCACTTACCTCTGGCTTGATGTCAGCTCTACTTCACTGTCCACCTCTCCCTCCTCCTCTTCTGATGAGATGCCACGTTTCTGCAGGAGAGATGGGAGGACTGTGGTCAGAAGAGGAAAGAGGCCACTAAGAATCCAGAAGGGAACATAGTTAACAAAGGGTGAAGTAGGGAATGGCTTACAATTGAGCATAATTTGGGGGTTTAGACTTGGACCCCAGGGAGAATAAGGAAAAAGGGAAAGAGCTCAGGAGCCTTTCCATACTTTACCTGACTTCGGGTGACGGCAGCCCTGTACAGCAGTGCAGCTGGGGTCAAGTGCTGGGACCCAGCCCGGCTTCCTCCCCGGCCCGAGGTCCCTTCCCTTCCAGTTCCCAGAAGCCCCACACCTTCACCAGGCCCTACTGGTGGAGGTGGCTCCCCTTTGGCTCCCCCAGGTGAATCTGGGCTGGTGGAGCCAGGGGCTGAGCCCTCACTTGGTGGGGTGTCACCCCGGGCCGGGGGTGGTGAGCCAGGATCCCCAGCTCCCCCTGTGGCTCCCCGGCCCCGGGATCCCAGTGCTGCTGACAGCAGGTCTGGGGATGATGATGACATTTTGCGGAGCAGGAGGTCATGATGAAGCCCACGGAGGGCAGGGGGGCAGGCCTCCCAGGCTGAGGGTCCCCCTCCTAGGCCCCCTGGGCTTGCTGGACCCCCAGGTTCATGGGGTGGCACAGCTGCACGAAGCCCAGGCAGATCCCCACAGCTGCCCTTGGCGCTGGCCTTGCGGTGACGGGTCTTGCCACGGCGACTCCGTCCTGGTGATGGGGGGCCCTTAGGACACCCAGGAAGCCCAACCCCACTTAGGGCTGCATCTAATTTAGGGAGCAAAGACTCCGTCTTGAGAATATCTGGTCTGGAAGCAGAAGAAAAGTAAAAGGTTGAGACTGCTGAATTTACTCAAAGCACTCCTTAACTTTGGACACTAAAATAGACATATCCGGCCAGGTACAGTGCCTCATGCCTGTAATCCCAACACTTTGGGAGCCCGAGGTGGGTGGATCATGAGGTCAGGAGTTCAAGACCAGCTTGGCCAACATACTGAAACCCTGTCTCTACTAAAAATAAAAAAATTAGCTGAGTGTGATGGCACAGGCCTTGTAGTTCTAGCTACTTGGAAGGCTGATGGGAGACTTCACTTTAACCTGGCGGGTGGAGGTTGCTGTGAGCTGAGATTGTGCAATTGCACTCCAGTCTGGGTGACAGTGAGACCCCGTCTCAGAAAAGCCCACATCTCCCTGCTAAGTACCGCTGCCACGTTGGCATCCCTCTTGCCATGCTGGAACCACAGTGTTCGTGTCCCACCTTTTGCTATGGGGTGACAGCTTCTGTGGCACATTCCTTTTCTTGATTAGCTTCTCCATTGTGTTTCCATGCAGGAGGCCCCGGGAAGGGTGTGGCTTCAGCAGGCCTGGGCACCTCCGCTCTAAAGCTTGCTCTCGCCTAAAGATCCAGGCACCTTCTCAGCTGGGCAAATGACCACGGAGGGCTACCCCAGTCTCCATAGGACCTCTAAGGCAGGCACAGTTCCAGGGTTTGGTGCATAAGGACAGGTAGGGTTACCTGAGCAGCTCCCTTTCCTTGAGTTCCAGCTGCAACATGAGGGCATTAAGTTCCATATACAGGTTGTTGGCTCGCTCTAGCTTCCTTTCGTAGTGCTCCCTGATGTCCAGGGCATGTCTGCAATGGGCAGAAGGGTTCCCCAAGGTGAACTGGGTTCACCTAGTGCCATAATAGATGCCAGTCTCAGAATTCCTGTCTATAGTCCTTCCACCTGCCTTGGGGTTGGGTAGGAGCTGACTGGCATAGTCCTTGCTATTGGTATAGTCACCTCACCTGAGCTCCTCCCTCCTCCTCATCACCAATTCCTCTTCTAGGCGGTGCAGACAGGTCCCTTCTGACTTAATCTTTTCGAAGTGCAGTTTTACTTCTTCCCGCCACTCTGCCTGGGGGTGGAGAGCAGATGAAGAGTGAGAGCCATCCCTTCACCCAGTGAAGGCTTTGCAGGTTGCCTATACCTGTCAGATGCGTGTGCCGGAACAAAAAGGAGTGGATTGACTCAGCCCTCTAAGAGCCAGTCTCTTCAGTCCCACTCAACCCATTGAGGGAGACTTCAGTCCCAGCCTCCCTCTCAAAAGGCATCATCTCTGCAAAGAAGGGGAGTTAGGTATTCATTTTCCTACCCACAGCACACCTGGGACTTAAAGTAAGTCTCCTGGGGTGTGGAGAGTACATCAGCTGAGGCAATGTCCAGATGTAGCAGGATCTGTCGGAATGAGGGGCGATTTCGAGGTTTGCTGTTCCTGAAAGGAATGGAGAGAGGAGAATTTGAGGGAGGACCATGTAGGAATTAGAGCATCCTTTCCCAAAGGGTGTCCTGGAGAATCCAATCCTAGAATGCACTCTGGGACAAAAGAACTTATGGTCAGCTGTCTCTAGGGAATGTCATATCAAAGTCCTGCAGTAAGAAAACCTAGTGAACCCTGTTATTTTCCAACTTGTCTGTCAAAAGCCTTTTCTGAGTAACTCCATTGAAGGAACTACTTTGGGAAATGCTCAGTGACAGATAAGGAATCTTCAAATCCTGGGTCTAGGTTCCAAATGAGGTTCTGGGGCCCTTTCCTTCTGTGTTCTATGGTTGTCTATCTGAGGTTCAACCAACCATGCTAGTGGTTATGCTGCTGCTTCCCTGTATTTGTATGCACTCTCTGGTACTTCATGGCAACCCAGGAATGCAGATATTGTTAACTATTTTATAGATGAGGAAACAGGTTCAGAGTGATACCACTTGCCCACAATGACTCAGCTCAGAAGGTAACATGCGCCTGATTCAGATGCAAGTCAATCTCTGAATTAAATGTACCCCTCCCATTTGTTGTTAAGTCCAAACCCTCTTAGTTCCAGATTCTAGTGCCCTGAATCACATCCTGAGTCCTCAGTACTTGGGGAGCCACATCTGGGAGCTCTTGACACCCTTCCTGTTAAGGATTCTGTGCTTGGCCACTTAGGGTTCTAGGTATTGGCTGTCCATCAGTACTGCCATGCTTCGCAACTTCTCCAGGCCCAGTATCCCAGCCCAGACCATCCTTACCAGCACTGGCGAAGCAGGATCTTGAAACCATCTGGGCAACTGGAGGGCACGGGCAGATGGAGACTATTGCTTCCCACACCCCAGATGATGGCTGAGGAATCTACGTCTTTGTAGGGGATCTCACCAGTCAGCAGTTCCCACAGCACCACACCAAAGGACCTAGGGATGAGGGGACATCACTTGGGAAGGGCTTCCTCCAGAGGTCCTGGTTGCTACAGGCTCATCACTTGTGCTCAAGCCCTGTTAAGTTGCCAGCCATCCCCATGCTGGCTACTACCCACTCTTCTCAGTTTTCAGCCTAGTCCTCACCAGATGTCGACCTTCTCAGACACAGGCTCATTGCGGATCACCTCAGGGGCCATCCAGGCTACTGTCCCTGCAAAGGACATCTTGGTGCTCTTGTCACTCAGCTCCTTGGAAGTGCCAAAATCTGAGATCTTCACCACATCGTCGTAGGTGATTAGCATGCTGGTAAAGAGTGTAGTCAGCTGGGGTCCACGCCCTCCACACACTTTATCTAACTCTGCAGGAACTTTCAGTTTTAAATCATTTGGGACACCCAAAGGGGCTCACTACAGCGTTCCCGAGGTGGGACTGTCACTTGGAAGAGGTTTCTGAGATGGCCACATGGACCTAGGACATGGTTTGGAAGTGGGGAGAAGGCCACACTGACTTGAGTGGGTCACCTGCATGCCCATCTGTTGCTCCCTGCTTGCTTACTCACTTGGGTGACTTGAGATCCCTGTGGATAATCTTGTGCAGGTGCAGGTAGTTCATGCCACCAGCGATGCCCATGGACCAGTCAACCAGTAAGGAGGGGGTAACAGGGCGGCCAGCCCGCAGTACCTCATACAGCTGGCCCTGGGCGCAGAACTCCATGAGGATGCAGTAGCAGGGAGCCTGGGTGCACACACCCCTGGGAGCCAAACAATGGTATGAAGGCCTCAGCTGGCTCAACCTTCACCTGATTGATACCTGGAACCCCCATTCCCATCCATTCCGCCTAAGGGTCTCCTCGGGGAAGGATGGGGTAGGTCCCACTG